ATAACCCTTCCCAAATATAAACCCTAACTAGAGGGAGGACATCACTAGGTAAGTAAAATTGTCCTGTGCCTTGAAATAAGGTATAGAAATGCAGTCAAGAAGCCAGAAGAGGAGACACCTCCACATCAGCTACCAGAGAAAAGAACAACACTTAAGTCCTTATAAATGGCCCTGTCAGAGAAATATGCACATCCATTTTGTAATCCTTCTGTTTAAGAATTTCATAAGGCCTTGTGTTTAAGGCTGCACACTCGGACTTGAAGGAGTTTATCAGAACATTTGGGAAAAAAGAGGGGGCATGGATGATTTCAAGTGAAAGAAAAAGTGACAGGGTAAACAAGTAAAACATACAAAAACACAGGGGACTACTTGAACATGTACAGGGCAGCACTGCAGGGGGAAAAAAGTAAAATCAATGATGACAGAAATAAGCACAAAAGACTTGAACCAGCACTTCAAATTTATAGCAACGTGGGCAGGAAGAATAACAAAATAAAAAAAGAAACCCCACACCACAAAGTCTAAATGCAGATATTTTGTTCTATTATTATTTTTATTATTAATTAACTCTGAATATTTCATCACTGCAACTTCTACAGTCTGTTGAACAGGCCTTCTTTGAAGCAAAACATCTGAAGAGCTGGCATACATTTGTGTAGAAGGCATAGCGCGGCAACGCAGCGATTTATCTTCAGATTTTGTCAATGTTTCTCTCGTAAGTGTATCATCTAAATCTGACACTTATTAAATTTGTCATTCTAAACGTTTCATCTGTCTTTGGATGCCTGTCTTTTGAATTTTCACAAAGTGCAACTTGGAATGAAACACAAGAGATTTAATCCACTCAGGGAGGTTCAGAAAGACACTGAGCTTCTGCTCAGTGGTCTAAAAAAAAAAAAAAAAAACACACACCACAACTAAAGCTGTACAAAACCAGAAAATGCTGAGCAAGATTCTTTTAATTTCTTAATTCCTTTAATTTTTCTTAAATGCCTTTAAGAAACCTAATGGTATATTCTCATTGCAGTGTTTTGAATTCTGATCATCTATTTTCAAACAGACCTCTACAAATAGACTAAGTCTACAGAATAGGAATGAAAATTATTTGAAGCATAGAGAATGCTCCACTTATGAAGAGGGGTTTTTTTAAAAAAATGAAAACTATTCTGTTCAGAGAGTTTACTAATAAGAGATCATGAGAAATAAGAAAATAATTTATCATATAGAAGCAGTCAGGATTTCCATCGACTCTTCTCACAAAAACCCACAGTCACATGTGAAATGAAGAGGTAAAAAAAAGTCAAACATAACTAGGGTAAGACACACAACCTATGAAAAGAAACAAAGAAAAAACAAAAGCCAAACTAAAAACTTTACAGAACTCACTGTTCCAAACCTTCTGAAATGCAGTTAGAGATTTCTACCAACAAAAATAGGGAAGCCATGCAAATGCATTAACAATATCTAAAAACTCTTAGTACATAAAAAAAACTAAATAGATAATGTAACAGGATTAAGAAAGCAGCGTCATTCCTAGGCACTGCACTTTCCTGCGAAGCAGCGGGAATCAACCACGGACAGAATGAGAGAACACTAGATTAGACAGACCACACATATCATCATGGGAGATAGATAGTTATATTTATTTTCCATGTCTGTGGCTGTAACTAATACCACATGAATGAGGAAGAAAAATGTCAAGTTTCCTAAAGGAATGATTGTGGTTTATGTCCATTATACCCTGTGAGAAAGGCTGTAGTAGTCCCCTAGAAACAAAAGAAATATATAGCAATACAATGAATGTTCCAGGTACTTTGCTATGCCAGCTATGCTCCAGAACTTCTCGTGTGAGAGCACTCTCAGGCCACTTTTGCTCTTTTCCCACAGGAGCAGCAAATAACACCACTAGAAAAATTTAATTTCTTTAAAGATTTCCAAAGGAAAAGCTTCAAAATTAAAACTATATGAGAATTTTGTGCATGTAGAGCATACTTTTTCCACAAAATTCAGTGAAAATGTTGAATTTCACATGATATCTTCAACTCTACATTCCTTTAATAGTGTTTCATAACTTATCACAAATAGCAGGTAACTTATGGGATGCCTCATTTCTCAGCCAAGCTCTGGGAAAGTGAAAACAGCTTTTTTTTACAGAAAATCATTCATACTCAGGTTGCACAAACCAGTATTTAAAAGTCAGAATTGTCCCTTCCCTTACTGGGCCAGAGAAGGAAGTAGGAACTGTTAAAGCTCCTCCTCAAACCTTCCCTTAATCTGTACACATTAGGAATGGGCAGCAGGGCTCAATCAACACTTCTTTCTTTAAAAATACAAGCAAAGAGTAAATATGGAAAGCAGTAGAGAAAAATCTCAAGAATTCCCTTCCTGCTCATTGGCCAGCAGTCCCTCCTCAGGTAGACAGAGGACACATTTTCAGCCAAGTGGGCAAACATTTGTCCTTTCCATACTCATTAATTCATAAAGCAAGGAGAAGCATGGCAAGAACTCTCATTTACAGTTTGGTTTTGCAGCTATGATCTACTCTGAGCAGGTGTAAGGAAGACACAGCATAGCACCTCCTGACATTCTGCCTCATGAGCAGGTGGAACATACGCAATTCTTCTAGCTTGTATTAAGAGCTTGAGAAATCTGAGGGCCTTTGCACAGAAGAGAAATAGACTGAAAAGAGATAGAGAAACTTGAAGATAAGACAGAGAGCAGAACACCTGGATGTAAGCTCACATAGCACAAAACAGTATCTTAAGAATCCAGTTGTTTTCAATTTCACTGAAGAAAGACTCAGTACATCATCATTTTAAAGAAATCAGAGCAATGATTTAAAGTAAAATACGAAATAACATTCTCCTCCTTTTAAGTTGTAAAATGATAGCTTATTCCACTTAAAAAGAAGCAGAAATGTGGGGTTTTTTCTTTATTTCGTTCCCTCTAGCGAGTGCACAGCACTACTGAAGTATACATAGGAAAACTGCAAGAACTCAGCCCTTGTGATATCTAGGCATTTGTGGTCGTTCTTACTGATACAGGTTGAACCACATGTGTCCCTAGATCTTTACAGAGGAATAGAAAGACAAGCTCCTGCCTCCTGGGGTGCAAGCTATCCAATTAAAATAAAAACTGCGAGAGCAATTAAAGCAGAAGGTGCAAAAGAAGGAAAAAAAGCAGAAGTAGGGCTGGTTTATACCACTTTTTTTGTGAAGAACAGTATGGTTTTGGTTTCCCACTCTATTGATTTAAATGCAATTGCTTTAAGATCTTCAATTTTTAATATAAATTTACATTTCTACTGTCTTTGGAATATCCATAGGAGGTTCTATGAAAAAAAATGTGTTCCAAAAAGGATTTCAGAGAAAAATTGTGATTCCTTGTAGGGTTTTCAGATCTACAAAAGATTACTTTTTTACAAGTCCAGACTTGGAGGATAACATGGAAGATCTCCAACACAGGAAAGCAACCCTGATAATAAAGTTCACTGACTGCAGAAGAAGTCAGTACCTGCCATCCTGATCATTTCATGAAAGAATAAAGCAGTCAAATAGCACAGTGAGCCAAAAGGCAAGTCAGCAAGTAACACAAACAGGGACAAAGACAGAAACAAGCTTATACAGTTTTGAAAGGGGGAAAAAGCTAGAGCCAAAATCTTGAAGAAGCAGCAGCAGCTAGTGAAGAGCAGTGGATGAAGTAATGAAGTAATTCAAGCAGTGGGAGACAGATTATCTCTGCAACAGCATTTTGCAAAGGCGTAGGCAGTAATGTCAAAAAAAAAAAAAAAAAAAAAAAAAACCCAAGGGCGGATGTCGTAGTAGCTCATGTGAGAGATATGTGAGACATGAGAAACTTCACAAACTACTATGAAATAAACCTGGAAAGGAATATACAGGTTTTAGAGAAGCAAGAGCAACAATTGATTAGAAAATTCCCCAACATATACAACTACATTTTCCAGAAATCATCATGTATTCCAGTGGCTTTTCTCTTTCAAACACATTCAAACAATAAGAATTCAAGTGTATTCATGGGGAGGAAGATTCAGTGGTGGTGTTGTGTGTGTTTGTCAGTTGTGCTCCTCTCCCCCCTCCCCAGCACCAAAAAAGAGAAGAAGAAAGAGTACTTAACCCAGAAGTAGGGACAAGTAAAAAATGGCACCACAGTTATGTGACTATCTGGCTGGAGTGTAACAAACTCACTGTCACCAGTTGACTAGGTGCAGAGAAGGGGTGCAAATGATGAGAGCTAACATGTGGCATTAGCAGTGGGAGATCCAGAAGACTGAGGAGAGAGAATTACAGATCCAATACTGCGCAGAAAGGGAAGAGGTCAAATTTGGAGTCATCTGAGGGAGTCCAAATTGCAGCTGAAGTCAAAAGAGTCCTTAAGGACCCAAAGAGGAGAAGAAGAATAGGGGAAGGGCAAAGTGAAAAGTGCAAAGGGCAGGGGAAAAAAATCAGGGTACAGTTAGCAATTAAAAGAAGAGGAAAAAAGCTCCTTAGATGTGGGAAGTAGAGAGTCATCAATCACTTTTTTGTGAACATTGTGAGTAGACAGAAACCATGGAAACCAAAGAGATGAAAGAGGAAGCTGAGGCAACACAAACAAACAGCTTCAGGAGCTGACAGGAAAATATGAAAACGACACAGACATGAAGGGAGAACCACAAGGATGATAGATGATATGCCATACAGTAGGTGTTACATATGAGCAGTCTACAATTAAAACAAGAACAATTCCTTGTTGTATACGACATTGACGAAGAAATTGGGTTTGACCTATAACAGTTCTCCCCTGCTTTCCAACATTTCAATTTACTAGCAATAAAAACCCCTATGAATTCTAAATGCAATTCTAATTGTGCTTATAAATGGTAGTTTCACAAGTATCTGTGTTACAATAAACACAAATTAGAGGTAAATTAAACCTTAATTATATCTAGCAAGTTTTATGTCCTAATTAAAAATGGTATTTTAACAATAAAAATGACTTACCACCTGAATTAGCTCTGCCACAATTGTCTAATCTTCCTAAACATTCTTTGTGTGCTCCAGCTCCACACTTAGAACATAAATAGCCTTGATAAAATGTTCCCCTGTAAAATAAAATTAGGTGGTGATACATTAGAAGTGATAAATTCCGCACATAAAGGAAATAAGAGTCATGGCAGAAGGTATTAGAAGTCATTTGCTGTTCTGCATAATAATAGTCCTTAAAGGCTCAAGAAAAAGTGACAACTGACAAGCAGCTCATCTGCTTTTCATCACTGCTAGCCATGTAAAAAACACAACCAGATAGCTCTTCTGGACTACTAGTAGAATAACAATCTCCATTTCAGTTTAACCCAAAGAAACTCTGGCACAGTACACTCAAAACCATATTGTTATGTATCTATGAACTATAGATCTACACTTCATTTCTTCTCCATGGGAATTTGCCTAGGCAGCATGAAGAATAAGACCCATTTCAAGAGTTGTAAGTTTGAATATATATTTAAGCATTAAGAAGTTTATAGGCTATATTGCAGATAGTCTTGACTTTAAACTTGTTCCTTTTAAAAAAAGATAGATCGATAACCAGGTATACTTCATTTAATATTCAGAGCTGCCAAATAAGGAGTCACTTTCCTTACTCCAGATCTTCTCCAATTTCACTTAATGAATTGGAATCAGAATTTGAGTCTGAGGAAACTGATTTATTTTCAGATTGGTACATTGCTTTTCTCTTCGGAACAATTCCCTGAATGGCTAACAGGGAAAAAGCTTTTTCCATGTACCTGTGAGCATATATGAGTTCCATCTAGTGATATATCTGCTTACTCTTCACAGTAGACATGTCTGCCCCCAATATTATCCTGACCAGTTTACAGTAACTACACATCCTAGTCCAATATGACACTTTCGGCTTCAAAGGAAAATCCAGTGTCTCATATGGAACACGGGATTGAACAAGTTAAACCTGAACGAAATGTACAGCAACTGCTATTTACTACAGCAATTTCTAGACTGTTGGTGACGAAATGTTTTTAATTAAATTCAGAAGCTCAACATTTTTAAATATCCGAGTACATGAACTTAAAGAAACATAAGTAAAAAATACAAAAGTATTTTGATGCAGTCTTCCTTGTTTTTTCCTTATTATTATGCAGGAAGCAAGATTCCCTAGATAAAAGTATAGGGTACAACATTAATCTTCACTACAGATGCTTCTAAGACTAGGGGTTTATCTTCACTAGATATTAGGCACTAAGGTTCAGATTTTTTTCTCCAAAGATTTACACATTAGCTTATGGCTGAAGCTTAAAATGACAATCCATTTTAAAAAGTGACTTAGGCACTTCATGAGGCTATATCCAGTAGGCTTTCAATACAACTCAGATATCCAAGGTCTATATACCGCAAGGCAGCACCTGAGGTCACCCAAGCTGTGTTTGAGCCAAGTGGCACGCCTGTGCAGAACCATACAGGCTGTGTCCTGAAAGCAGGATGACTGTTCCTCAGCAACAGCAGCTAGTGCAGGAATAAAGACACCATGACTCAACTACCCTGCTTCAAATTCAGAAATTAGCCCTGCCATCTCTAAGTTCAGGATGTCTGCACTACTCTTCATAGTCACTTACACCTAACTGCATCCAGAAAAGAAAAAAAAAAAATCTAGAAATTAATCTTCAAAATCCAGGTCAGCATAACCATTCAGGAAAAATGTTGCTAAAGCAAAAAACAAATAACAGGGACATACATACTTCAGATTATTTTATTCCATGTCTGTGTTTGCCAAACGCAATACCCATACTTCAAAAGCCCTTTCTAAAATGCTGTGCTACATTTTTTGGAACATCAACAGTATGCAACATAGAATCATAACACACACAGAATGCTTTGAGTTAGAAAGGACCTTAAAAGATCACCTAGTTCCAACACCCCTGCCATGGGCAGGGACACTTTCCACTAGACCAGGTTTCTCAAAAGCCCCATCCAACCTGGCCTTGAACACTTCAAGGGGGTGGGGGCATCCACAACATCTCTGAGCAACTTGTTGTGAGCTCCTGAACCAGCCAAAGTTTACAAAGCTTTTGCATCTCCAGCTCACAATAAGACATTTCATTTCAACACATCCTTCTATATCATTGGACATTGCATATTTACAAAAAAAAAAAAAAAAGTCCCTAAAAGGTAGCAGAAGTAATGAATGAGAAACTACAAATGTGGAAGCCTGTATGTGTTTCAGAGGAAAGAGGCAGAAAATATGGAATTTCTTAGCTCCAGCTAGCTTTGCAAACCCTTGGTCATGAAAGCATTAACTGGCTGCTAGCATTTCTTACTTAGCTTTGCAACATGTGCCTGTAATTTGTTTTACATGTCTCTCATTCAGAAGTGCGTGTTAATGCATCACGGTTATTTTCTATCTCACAAAGCAGTCTCCCCATATCAAATATTTACAAGCATTATCATCATCATCTGATTTTCTGAAAAAACATTCCATCTGTTCTCGTGACTGGTGGTCTACAGCAACAGGCCCCATAGAACAGCCACGGTAGTCAAACCTACACAAAACAGTTGTCACTTACTCTTATATAAGCACTACCATATTAAATAAAGCAATTTTCATAAAAGAATCATAACAAAGCAACCTTCTGATAAATAAAGAACATTTTGAGGTTTTGAGCTTTTACCAGCACTCCTGCTAGCATCTGGAAATTTGATTACAAAAACTTGCTAATAAAACAAAAAATACTAGATATGACTTCATGGCTTGTCTGTCTTGGACAAGTAACCAGCTAGCCATGTTTTCCCACATACTCCTTTGACTCAGATACTTGACTAGGGGGTGGGGACCCCACAAACTTAAAAAAATCTTACCTCAGAAGCATCTGACAGACTTTGCAAGACGTCACACGACTGAAGGTATGCATTTTGAACTCATGAAAGCTTGTATCTGCATAGTCTGGCCGTATGTTTGACCTAAAAAAAATTTTGAAATTCTGCTTTAAACTGATGACATCTAGAACATAATGCAGCATTCACAGCAGGAAATCTGAATCCACCAACAATTCATTTTATTTACATTTTAATGTTTTCCATTGAGGTGAACCAGAAATGTGTGCTTTACCACACACCTTGAAATAAAATCTGAATTATATTATGCAGACCTGGTCCTTAAAATAACACCCTGTAACTACCATAGCTGTCACAATAACTAGAAAACTGTACATCAAAGCAAGCATCAATTCATTTTTATTCCTGTTCAAGTAACTAGGATCATTTCATGGATCCAAGGAATGCTCACTTCTTCATTCTCAAATATTTTGATACATGGATGTACAAGGCAGAGCAGCTCATACTGAGACCACCACATTTGAAAACATGAGCAGCAAATTTGTGACAGGTCACAATTATGCAGCAATACACTGGATAAACCCAAGTGATTTCAAAAGCAATTAGAAAATACTTACTAGGGTTTGGCTGGTCTTTCTTAAATGTGTTGCCCAATGCCTACAGCTGTTGCTACACGTGCTTCATTTAACAAATAAAATCGATTGTTATTCACACTGCTAAGATACCAACACACTATTGGCAGACTTATTTCCAAACATAAGTTTATGTACAAAGCACCAGTTCATTGCTGTACATGTATTTCATTCATCCTCCCTACTGATCCCTTTCAAAAGTAGGAGTATAATTTTAAAATGACCCAACTCATCATATTGTGCTGGTGACTGTTTGCAGGTTTATTTAAATTTTATTAAATAATCCATTCAATTTTTTATGTCACCTTCCCCTTTTCCAAGAGTACAGGGGAAAACAAGAATTTTCAATTCGTTCTTTATCTTTTTATTTTAATTCAGTAACACCCACAAACTAGCTTAACACTACTCAAATCAGTAACACTGAAATGCTAGGTGCATAGTTAAATATTAATCTAGACTGTATCAGACAAGAACTATATACAGTAAAGATTAATGTATTTTTTAATATTATTTATATTGAAGTGCTTAGGATTCCACAAATTTCTGGTATTTTTTCCAGCAAAAATATAGGAATGCATGATGCATGGGAATTAAAATAGGGGGGAAAAAATCCTGAGGGTAAGAATGCAAGAATCTACAACACTCAAAAGAAAGACAAGGTTTTCCAACACACAAAATTACTAACGCATGCATGCAAGTTGGATATACCTATTAGATAACTTTCATTTTTATGTATTATAAATGACTTCTAGACTAAAACAGACCATCTACAGATTGCAATGAAACATAAATATAGGTAACCACACAAGCATCAATCTTGCCAGGACTGAATGAAAAGGCTTATGAAAAAAACATTCAGAGAATCTGTTTAAGTACCTAGTGTCAGAAAGGTCAGTCTTCTAATCCACCTGCTGAAAATGAACGTGCTGGAAATGAAACTGTACTCAAAAAGCAAATGGGATTTTGCTTTCACACTTGAGAATAACCTTACTCTGAGTACTGTTTTATCTAGCTCAGTAGTGTCTCTCTTTCTGCTACAGTATGCCGGATGGCAATATCACAACCCCTGCTAACTAAAACAGGATACTACCCATTCACAGCAAGAAGGTACAGGTATGAAGATAAAATTAACCTCAAAAAATGAAATTTTTTTTAAATCAAGAGGGCTGTAGCTCTGTAGAGCAAAGCCTGAATTTCACACTTGCAAAAACCTCATTGTAAAACCTCTTAGGCGACACAGTTAACTCAATCCTGAAAGCTCCCTAGAATAAAAGTGTAAGAGACAGTCAGAAGTGTGTTGGTCTCAATCTTGTCATCAGATACTTGGACAATCAGGCACCCGGAAACTTAGGCTGACATCCTGACAAGAGTCTGCAGCAGCCTACCCGGGACGCAGTTGCTGATCCCTGGAATGGAATGCAGTTCCTGTGGATACAAAGGTGCAAACACCCCGGGATGGAGGACTGTGTGGTACAAGACGCCCAGCGCTGTTATACATTATCTGGGGGAGCCAAAGCTGCTAAAATAATCCACATACCTGCCATCAAGGAATATTGATCAAAACTGCTGTCTCAGCATTGATGAAGAAATTGCAAACCTTGGACAAACTTTGCTTATTATAATATCATTATAATACAAAACCACACCTCCTGGTCAAAAGCTACCTGCCTCTAAGGCAGACCACACCTGGGACACTCCTCCATGGGCATGCGTGGAAGCCTCGCTCGAGAAGGGCGGAGACTGGCAAAAGTCCACAGGACGGAGAAGGAGCAAGGTGCATCACCTAGCATAAAAGATGGCTTCTTAGCAACCGAACTTCGGAAGCTTTCCCCACCGAGGATCATGACGACTGGAAGGACTGGCAGGACACTGCCTGGACCTGGGACCATAGGGACACCTTGGACCCACAGTGGTAACCATTATTCTCTTTCCCCTCTTTACTCTACCTTTCCTATCACACTTTTACCTATTGCACACTGCTTTATGGGCAAACAACAAAGTTCCTTTGTTTGATTGAAGTAAAATCCCTCTTTGGCTTTCCGTTGCACTTTGAGATTGTAGCAAACAAACCATTACGCGTCTGCTGAGTGGAGCGGACCATGACAATGAGTTACAGTACTTAGACTCCCAAGAAGAGGTTTTATTGACCATTTGGTTCAGACCAGGTTAGCTTGCAAAACCATTTCAAAAGTATCAGCTTAATTCGCAGAGACTCATCAGATTTTAAGAATATCAAAGTAATCCTAGCAACTTGACCATTTTTCAAGAACCAAAGAAAGAATTCTGTTTGTTTAATTACAACAGGATCAATCTTCAAAAATAAGCAGCGTAGTGGATGGAAAGAAAAAAGTTGCAACTTCATACAGACATTTAACAGAAGCATCTGACTATAGAAATTCCTTTCCTTTGTAAAAATTCTCTTCCGTTCTTCTCTCAGGCTATCTTCCACAAAGATTGAAATACACGAACCACTGAAAAATATACCTCCTATTAACAGAGCAAATACACCATGTTCATTCTTCTTTATATTAGAAGTAATATTTGTTTCTTTATATTTCATAAAGCCATTCGGCTGCATTTTACAGTCCTTAATAGAAAAAGTTATTCTTGAGATGAAAAAATGTATAGTGCTAAAATGGCAAAGAATGAAGGTGTTGCCTCACCGAAGAGCTGCCACAAGTTCTTCCACCTTCTTTCAACAGTTTGTTTTACTGCATCTATGGTTTAACCTATCAGATGATAATATCCTAAATGAGCCAGAAGATATATCCAAATAAACAGACTTACAACTTTGGCTCTCTACTGTATGCTAAAATCAGGATACACTTGTCCTACTTGCATAAGTACAGGAAAACAAACATGGAAACATCTAATGCAATAGAAACTTTGGAATGTAATGCAAACTTCAGTTTATCTTGTTCACTACTACCTACAGGAACCAGCTTGGTTTAAAGTATTACTGGGTTCTTAAGGATCATGAAAATGTATCATAAAGAGTGAATCCCTCAGTTTCTCTAAACCTCAACAGGTTTTATTTTAGTAAGATTCTAATAAGTTCTCCATCTAAAACCCTTTCCTTTCTTCACCACTGACACATCTTTCATACTTCATATCAACTCACTATAACTTCATGTATTTCCTTGTTAGCTAATGACAAGCTAGCAAAGAAATCTTCTACAATAGGTTTTTTTTAAATTACATGAGCCTGAGTAGCTCTTTTAGGGACATACGTCAACTATTCATAAACCAAAGGGACCTTTCAAATTTTTCTAGCCATTTCTTCCATCACTCCAAACCTGTAATTTTTCTCCCTTTTTCCCCAAAGCCACATCACCTGGAAGGAAATGCCTAAAAATCCTTAACAACAAATTTTTAGCGAATCAAAGGAGATACCACTTCAGTACATCACCTGCGGACTAAATGAATCTGGAAGATACTAGAGTCTCAGCATATTACAGAGGATCCTGCGCAAAAATAGCAGGAATCAACACGAAAAGAAACCTAACCTGCTGCTCAGGCTTTCTTTTTGTGCTCTTAGAAGATACTTGCAAGCAGTTGTCTCAACATGAACAATGCCATTGCATTCACTGAGAACACGTAACATTAACATTTTCTTTTGTCTCTTCCTTTTCATTTCTAATCATTAATCCTAATTGTATCCAATCTGAGGTCAAACAGGAATGGGAAATTGTCATGTGTTTTATTTCAGTTTACACATCATCAAAATATATTCTCCAATTTGAGAGTCCATCACATTTAAAAAAGATTATGATTCTCATCTTTTCCCCTTACCTCATGATTCTCTTAATAAAGATTCTATTGAAAATATTAATATCTACATATGTTGTTAGCACTTGATTCATATTAGACAAGGCATTTCACCACTGCTCAGAAAAAAAAAAAAAAGCATTTACATTTACGTAAAAGTGAAGCTTCCAGTCACTGATATTCTGATAAATGCAGTAGGAAAGAACAATGCAAAGTAAGAAACAATATGTCCACTCTGTCAACAGAGTACTGAAAAGTGAAGCACAAAATACAAAGATAATTAATGATACACCAAAATCCAAAGCAGGCTACAGGAAAAATAAAAAGATACTGTGTATTACCTACTGTAAATATAGCAGTGCAATAAGGAAAGCTTTGTAGAAAATATATATTATAGTGCTAACTGTGGACAGGAGAACTCTTGCAGATCTAGTACCTGATCAGTCACGCTGCATTATGGCACATCCAGTTCTGTAGTCACAGTATACATCACATCAGACAAGTCTGAGATAGTCTGAGATGATGCACTGTAGCAGTATATACCAAGTGTCAAGCTTTTTAATGTAAAAACTGAAAGTTAATGAATCCAGGAGTTTGATATCTTAGTTTTTATTGTATTGTTTTTAAACAAAAAAGAAATGAGGCAAAAATAACCCAACTCGATACAGAGACCAGAGCTGCCACACCACAGTAAAGAGGACAATTCATCCTTCTCTAAACGTTGTT